CTGTCCCAGTGAGCTGCTCAGAGATGATGGGCATGTGAGGGTGGGGTCTACAAGTAAAGCCTTTACAGCACAACCTGCTCGTGTGTATGTGTGTGTGTGTGTGTGTGTGTGTGTGTGTGTTCCCGCATGCTCATGAGTGAGGGGGCACCTGTGCTTTGGGCCATGCTCTCTAGGGAGTGACTACACTTGCTTTGGGCCCCAGGGGTGGAACTAAGAGGTAAGCATGGAGGTCAGAGGTGAGACATCAGCTCCAAGTAAGGAAGCGTTCTCCCTCAGTCAGAACATCCCGCTACAGGGAAGGTGGCCCACAGCTGGCCCGGACTGTGGGCTGAAGGAGTAGAACAGGCTGGCTCTGGCTCTGGGCACTGTGAGCTCCCTGGCAGTGGAGATATGCAAGCCTAGGTCGGAGGCCTTAGGAGTGTTTCACTGGGACTCGAACTACATGCCCGTGGGGATTCTGATTGAATGCGCACTCAAAGAGCACCTTGGTGATCCAGTCCCTGCCCCCAAAGTGCAATCTGTCTGTGGTGCAGGGCCCTCAGAGGCTCAGCACTGAGTAACAGGAGGCCCCGCCCTCATGAGACTGACCATTGGAAAGTACAGCTGGGAAGGACCCTAGACCTCATCTGGACCAGGGGTGATAAGGTGTGGAATGGCACCCACCTGTATCATAATCTCCCATCAGGTTAGTTAACTATTTCAACTGGGATTGATCCTCTCTAGGAGTTGGGTCCTGGATTCTCAGTCACTTGCATGCATCCCCGTCCCTGACGAGAAGGTGAGGCTCCCAGAGTGAAATGATTTCTTCCAGGTCAGAGAGTGAATGTGTTGGAGCCAGGAGTGTGTCCAAACCCTAAGTAGCTTTACCAGCTAGTCAGTGCTGGGTCTGAGGCCTCTGGTCACCCTGGGGTACCTGTGCTGAGCTGTACCTGGTCCTGGGCAGGCAGAGACATTGTTCTCACACAGCCAGGGGACCTAGCGCAGGGCACCTCTTTCCCTGGTCATGCCGGGGAGCCTGGGAGATGTGGTTGTGATCCACAAGGGTTTGGAGCCCTGTCAGTTGGATTGTGCTGGTTTTATCCAGGCTACAAATAAATGTCCTGAGTGTTGAACATGGTGTTCCCCTCCCCTTCTCTTCCCCTCCCCCTCCCAGGATGAGATTGCTGCCCGTCAGAAAAGAGTGGTTACGGTGATCAAATTGGATATCTTTCAGTTGGAGAAAGAAATCCTGAGAGATTTCTTTGAGAAGGTGAGACATGCGGGTTCTAACCAGTGAGCCATGTGGTCTAGGGCACACCTCTGGGCCGTCTGTGTGTGTGTGTGTGTGTGTGTGTGTGTGTGTGTGTGTGTGTGTTTGGTGGGCCAGTATTTCCCATGTTGATCACGTGGCACAGACCGCTCACACACTTAACTGCTCACTGGATGGCTGGAGGTTCAAGCCCACCGAAGGGCTATGTGGAAGAAAGTCCCGTGGATCCACTGCTGGAAAAGCAGGCACTGGCGACCCTGGGCACTAGTTCTCCTCCGGCGCACAGGTCTCCAGGAACTGGCAGCTGGCTGGTTGTCAGTCCTTCTGGACTCCGGAATCCGTGATGGGATCGGCAGGTGTCAGCAGGAGCAGAGAGGGGTCTGTCAGAATGGCCTAACCAAAGCAGCACTTGTCAGGGACGGGTTTGGGAGGGGTGCTGGGAACCAGAGGACGTCACAGGGTCCTGGGCTGTGACAGGGTTGGAGGGTGGGCTGAGAGGGCGGGCAGGGCAGACTGGAGTGACAGAGTTTGTTCTAGAGGGACTGTCCTCCCTTCCCACCCTTATCCCGCCCTGGGCTTCCAGCTCCTTCCCCTCTCAGAGACTTAAAAACCTCTCCCTTCACATCCCCTGGAGTGTCTGGCTTCAGGTACAAGTTTTTGTGGTGGGAGCTGGTGGGACACAGTAGTTCATGCTTCTTTGACTGGAACACCAGGACTCCTTTACAGATCTGTCTACATTTTACTCAGACTCACACACAGAGACAGAGACACATGGACACACACAGACATACGGACAGACACACATGCTGATACAACAGATACACACACACAGACACCCAC